TCTGGTGACCAGCCGCGGCTTCTGTAGAGCTGGGACAATGAGCCCAGGTGGCGGAGATGAAGAAAAGACAACTGCCTCCCGAGATGCCAGGCTCCCCGGGATGTGCAGAACCTACTCAGAAATCAACCATAGATTTTCCTTTCTTTTGTTTCTTTTAATTGAAAAAGTTTTTCATGCAATAAATTTTAATCATGTTTCCCCCCCGCTCCATCCCAATTCTCTTCCGATCCTCCCCATCTCTCTAGTCTTCCAATTTTACGTTCTTTTCCTCTTTCAGGAAACAAACACCAAAAAAAAATACAAAATAAAAAAACAAAAACAAGAAGAAACTCACCAAAACCACAAAAACCAAAAATCAAATGAAGTAAAAGACCAGTAAGAAAAAAAAACACCAAAATGAAACCGAGTCCACAAATATACCATTGAGTTTGTTCATATTGGACAGCTACTACCACAGTCCCTTAACACACTGTAAGCCCCAAAGTGTGACGAATATCCCCTGGGAGACTCCACTGTAGAAACTGAGTCTCCCTTTGCCAGCAGGTATCAACTGCAGAGATGTGGTTAGATGTGGGATGCATGTCCATTTGCCCCTCTCAGTGCTGAGATTCCTCCTGGCTTAAACCTGCATAGGCCTTGAACCTGTTGCCCCAGTCTCTGCAAGTTCTTATGTGCATCAAACCTACGTGTCTGGAAGCCACTGTTTCCCTGAAGCCATCCATCATCCCTGGCTTATACAATTATTCTGCCTCCTCTTCCACATAGAAACCTGAGCGCTGGGCAGAGAAGTTTGGGGAAAACATCCCAATTAGACTGAGAGTTCTAAAGTCTCTCACCCTCTGTACATAGTCCAGTTGTAGGTTTCTATGTTAGTCCCCATTGACTGCGAGAAAAGCATCCCTATTGTGGGTCGAGTAAGGGTGTGGGTATAAGAGAATGTCACTGAGAGTCATTGTATTGCTATGCCCCTTTAGTAGAATAAAAAATTATGTTTTCCCTAGACTTGTCTCAGGTTCTTGGCCATGTTAGTGGTGTCAGGTATTGGTCCTATCTCATGGAGTGGGCCTTAAATTCTACCAAGAAGTAGTTGGTTACCCCCATAGTTATGCCACTATTGCACCTGTAAACCTTGTGAGCAGGTCACTGCTGTCGGTTACAGGTTTACAGTTGGGAGACAGTGATGACTGCCTTTCTCCTCTGGTAGCATGTGGAGTACTTCCCATCTCCATGAACACTGATTCATGAGGGTGAAGCTGCTGGTTAGGTATCTCCTTGACTTCTCTGTCTTCCATTACGCAACCAAGTGTTGTCTTCAGCGATCGAGCCTTCCCATCAGGTTGCGGACAGCAACTAATAGCCTCGGCAATAGCCCATAGTGTTTGGGGGTTCAATGGGAGCTACCTTGGCCAGTGACTTAACAAGAGGTAACCCATTCTTTTCACTGGAGGGATTTTGAATGGCATAAGATATATAGTTAGTACATTGTCTCCCCCACCCACTTGATGACTCTATTTAGAATCCTTTCGTATCTATAGTTTATGATGCTTCTAAAGCGGTAGGTTTCCATATGGTTCTGTGAATGGCCTTCATTGTTAGCTGTCCTCCCTACATTCTCTTCTAGGCTCTTCTCTGTCATCATCTTCACTTTTAATCCTCCTAGTCTACTTCCATCTTTTCCACTTCACAGAAGTGCTTTCTCTTTTCCCTTCCCTAACAGACCATCTTCTCCTCCCTTGTACCTTAGGAGGTACCTTACCTCTGCGGTTATTCAGATTGTAGCAAACATTGAAAGTTTAAAAGCTAGCATCCTCATAAAAGAGAAAACATGCAACTTTTGTCTTTTGGGGTCTGGGTTACTTCACTCAGGATGATCATTTTTTCTTGATCCTTCCATTTACCATTTGAATTCCTCGATTTCATTTTTTGATGGCTCAGTAATATTCTCTTATGTGAATGTATCAGATTTTTTTTTATCCATTCTTCCATTGACAGACATCTAAACTGTTTTCAAATTCTGGCTATTATGAATAGAGCAGCAGTGACCATGGCTGAGCGAGTTTCACTGTAGTAGGATGTAGAGTCCATTGAGTATATGTTTAAAGTAGCATTGCTGAATCCTGAGGTAATGGATTCCCAGACTTCTGAGGAATACCACATTGATCTCTCTAGTAGCTGTGGTGGTTTTAATAAGAATGACCCTGATATGTTCATTATTTGAATGCTTAGTCACCATTGAAAGGCACTAGAAATAATTAGAAGGTGTGGACTTGTTGGAGGAAGTATCAATAAGGTGGGCTTTCATGTTTCAAAAGCACTTGCCAGGCTCAGGGTCTCTCTCTCTCTCTCTCTCTCTCTCTCTCTCTCTCTCTCTCTCTCTCTCTGCCTATGAATCAGATAATTAGGATATAATCCTCAACTACTGCTCCAACATCTGCCTGCATACCCCCATGTTTCCTTCTCTAATGATAATGGACTAACTCTCTAAAACTGTGAGCAAAACCCTAACTAAACACTTTCTCATAATAGCTGCCCTGGTCATGGTGTCTCTTCACAGCAATAGAGCAATGACCAAGACGGTGACTGTACACGTTTGCACTCTCATCAGCAATGAATTAACAAGCTGCCCTTTGTTTTGTTGATCTTAGCCATCCTGACTGATATAAGATGCAATCTCAAAGTAATTTTGATTTGCATTTCCCTGATGGCTAAGAGTGTTGAACATTGTTATAAGGGCTCCTCAGGAATTTGTGTTTCATCTTTTGGGAACTCTCTTCTTAGTTTAGTACACCATCTGTAATTGAGTTGTTTTGTTGTTGACAATGAACATTTTTAAAGTTCTTTATCTATTGTAGGTATTAACCCTCTATCAGATGTGTAATTGGTAAAGATCTCTTCCAATTCTGTAGCCTGCTACTTTGCCAGAATGATGGTGTCTTTTGTCATGAGGTCCCGTTTAATAACTGGTGGTTTTGGTGACTGTGTTGTCTGTGTCTGTTTAGAAGTCCTTTCTTGTGACAATGAGCACAAACCTATTCCCCACCTTCTCACGGGTCAGATTCAGAGTGTCTGACCTTATGTTGAGGGTGTGCTTTCTAAGAGAGTACTGATGAAGCTCCAGGTCATAAATCACTGCTTGGACACGCAGTAAGTGGACAAAGATCTCCCATGAGTGGCTGGAGGGGAAAATGAATCGCATTTGTCATTTACATTTAAGCTAGAGCCGCTGTGTACAGCATTTGCTAGACATTATCTTTCCACATAGGAGCTGTGAAACAAATGGATTCACTTCTTTAAAACCAAGAGTTTGAGAATCAGCTATGAATTGACACTTTGTAGGGTTTTGCCCCTTCCTGCCTAGGACAATGACAATCAGCATCAGACACGGCACACTATGGATTTCTAGCAGAGGCCATCTGCACCTGTATACAGATGTCCCTACACGGTTAAAAATATATTATTCTATTATTGCATAGAACATTAAAACATACAAGCATAAATTAGAAGCATAAGGAAGAACTGGTCTTTCATTTTGTAGCTGTAACTAATACTAATTTTAGAAAACATGTAGTCTTCTGAATGCTGCCTTACACGTGCAAATGCTGCCCACAAGTTAATTTTAAGTTTTAAATCACAGGCAAGTATCAGCATCTCTAGAATGGTCAACGTGCGATGAAGCCTACTCTAGAGGAATAATGAAGAAGACTGGTAATAGACCCCCCTCTCCCGAACACTTCTGAAAAGCTAAAGTTTATCCAGTTTTTATGAAACTGTCCCACAGTTTTCATGAGGTGCAGGCTGACTTAAACTCATCCAGGATTTATTTTTTTTTGTGTCCTTCAAATCACTCTCATGGAGAGGCAGGGAGGCACACTTATAATCAGGCCTGTTTTGGTATCTTAATTCTGTGACGTGTTTCAGAGAAAGATACCTTGCTTCTTCACATGCGGTATGCATCCATTTGTAAATCAGAAAAATAATGTTTGTCCAGCCTACTTCGAATTACTACTAGATGGGAAAAAACACAAAACGGATTACAATGCCTTTCTCAAATTGAGCCTTTTTTCATATTTATTATTGCATAAATCATTAAGAAAATGAGAAAGTAACTTACAAGGTTTTAAAACACAACTGGTTTACATTTTGATGTCTGTAAGAGTTGGGTGGCCCAGGATAATGAGAGAATTCAGGCTTTCATCAAGTTTGAGGTATTTGAAAGTCGACAGAAAATCTTCTTTCATCGCTTATGATCCAGAGAGATGGGAAACACAACAAGGCAATCAACCTGGGCTCGAGTTACATGTGCCTCTGAGTAGAAAAAAAAAAGGAAATAGGTATTATGGGAGATGTGGATTGCAAGGTCTTAGACCACATGAGACTCTCCTTTGAGTCACAGACTCTCTGACATCACGATTATCAAGACGCTTGAGTGAATCATATCAAAGTCGCTGACAAGAATCCCATCAACATCCTAACTGAAATGGTTAGTATTACAGCCCCACGCATGCTGGGAAAGCAACCCCGCATCACAATATAATGTAATAAATAGTGTCCTTAATTGGCAGAAAGAATTGCCTAGACTCAAATGGAATTCTCTGCCTCATATTCATCTGCATGTCTTGTTGGAAGTCACATAGTTACTCAGCTATGTGTCTTCCTTAGAGAGAGGCGCCACCCAGCATGGGAAACCAGAACTTAGCACTCATAGCTAAAGATGACACTTTCAGCATCTGATATTTATAGACTTACTATATTGAAAAAAATTGACATTCTAGAGTGACCACATAATAACTTTAAATATTTAATCTTGTTTTTTTTTTAATTTAAACCATCTATTAAACCATACTGGAAATTTTAAGAACTTTCAAAATTCATTGCAGTCATAATTGTGTTTACTAGATTTATAACGATGAGTTTGTTTGTAAACAGGGCATCAAACATACCTAATTTAGTCAGTTAGAATTAGTTAAGGAATTATACTATTTAAGTTTATAGTTTGAGGACCCAAATCAAAAGATTTGTAAGAAGGAATGTTAGGAATTGCTAAGGACAAAAAGAATAATTAGCTCATTAATAAAAATTGAACACCTAAGGAGGGCGGTCCCTGTCTCAGCACAGAGATGTTACTTTAGAGACATGTCAATGCATGCAACACTGCCTCCAGTTAACACTAAAAATTTTAGCAGCTGTACTCAAGAAAATGTTTCTGCTGACTCAGCGAGCAGGCACAGATGCTAGAGTGAAGTCTACCCTGGTGCCTATTTCACCGCTTTCCCCTTGTGCTTCTACTGTAGAAGAGTTCCTAACCCACTCAGTTCTAACTATAACTGTGCTATAGCTTTGCTTGACTCCCTCAAATGAAGAAGTTATGTGTTGGCCATCTAAGCCTCCATGTATTAAACAGCGCTGAGAGGTCTGCAGCCTTCATGCAGGATCCAGTAGCACTGGGAGAGTTTGATGGAGGAAAGAGGGGTCTGTTCCCTCTCCAACTACTCTCTCATCCCTTCTGTGTGAGGTCACAGAATTATATCCTCTGGAGAAAATGGGGTTCCAGGTATCATCTTGGAAGTAGACAGTGCTTTGTCTCTGTTTTCTCCTGACTGTCTAAGGCACAGATTAAGCTCTGTCTCCAGCCCAGGGAACAAAGACCCGAATCATCAAGTCCCTTTACTTGGCTCACAGTTCAGGGATAGAAACGTTTTATCCCCAAACAGGAGAAAAAGAAAAAGCAGGAACAGTGACCATGTCCCTTCCGCATTCTTCTCCTAAGCAGTTTTCCCAGGCGCTCTCCTTTGTGACAACCTTCTGCCCCTAAGGTAGGTGACGGGCAAATGGTGTCAGAGTTCAGTTTTGAATTTTTCTACTTCCTTCTTTTCCTTCCTTCTTTCCTTCTTTCCTTCCTTCCTTCCTTCCTTCCTTCCTTCCTTCCTTCCTTCCTTTATTCCTTCCTTTCCCTTTCTTTCTTTTTTCCTTTTTTCTTCCTTCCCTAATTTTCCTTCCTTCTTTTCTTCCTTCCTTTATTCCTTCCTTAATTTTCCTTCCTTCTTTTCCCTTCCTTTCTTTTCCTTTCTTTCTTCTTTCTTTCCTACATTTCCTTTCCTATCTTTCTTTTTTCTTCCTTTCTTCCTTCCTTCTTCCTTCATTCCTTTCTTTCATTTTCTTTTCTCCCTTCCTTTCTTTTTCTCTTTCTTTCTTCTTTTTTTTAAAGGTAGTACCTTGCTGTGAATCTTTGGCTGGCTATGGACTCACTTTGTATCCCAAGTTGTCCTCAAACCCATGATGATCTTCCTGCCTCAGCCTCCCTAGTGCAAGAGCGCACCGCAACACCTGACTCATTTGTAATCTTTGGGCAGCTTCTTCACCTTGATTTAGAAGTAAGAGTATTTGATGCACATTGTGTCTGTGCCTTTGTTTGGGGGATCTAAGCTTAGGCATCCCACATAATATTCCTCTGTGCAATCATTATGGAATATTTGTGCCAAGGTATTTTCTGAATGACTTTAATATCATCAGGAATCATCTCTCAAGTGAACAAAGGTGCCTGCTTACGGGTCCATGTCTGAGATGGGGATACTGATGCATCCTTTTCCCTTTAAAGTGGAAGAAGTGAAGGATCTTGCCTCCTTCTGTACACAGACACATAGGAGAAATCCTGAAGACAGAAAGAAAAGACCAAGGAAAACATCAGTCTGAGCAGGACCGTGAGATGACCCTTGGAAAGCTCCGATGTGTGATTGTGGAAAACCTATTTCCTGTAAAATAGACATGGTGTTGTTTGTTCCAGTTTATTTACAATTTACAAACTGGTTCTCATGGTTCTTTCACAAATTCGTGCCCATGTCTTATTTGATACTTGCAAATTTTATTTATGAATATAATAAATTAAATTATACATAGAGGTTATACTAAAAAAAATGAAGACGGGCACTTAAATCTTTCAAGTCTGCGTCCTGCTGTCAAATGTGACTGCTCCCAACAGAGGCTTCAGTACGTCTCTTAGTAAGACCCTAGCCTTGTCTCTTGGTAACTTCGGGGACCTCAGCTATGCCACTTTCTGTCCTTTGGCTTGTTTGTCATCTTTAGGAAAGTCTCTATCTCTTGGGCTTGCTCAGCTGACGTAGTTAACCTTCAGGATGCAGTGGTATTCCCAGTCCAAGCTTATGAATGTACTGTGATTCTCCCGCTACCATCACCCTGAGATGGCTTCAGCAACACCCGGGTTAGATTCGTTCTTAAATTAAGGTTCGATAGTTTTCCCTTTTCCTACATTCTGACAATCGCCTTTACTAAGAAACAAAATGTCATCTTAAAGTTCGTCTCACATGCCAAATATTCCAACCTCAGATTCCCTCTCTAGTTTTCCCGCTGGTTTGCCAGGAGTCTTTCAGGGATTCCATTTCTTTTCATTTTTAGGAACAGCGTGCTGCTACTGGGTCCTGAAAGGCTTCCAGGCATCCCCTTGTGCTGTGTGTTCCTGCATAGACTTGCCCCCACCCAGGGACATCCACCGGTTCTTCTGACTGCTGGCTACAATTGGGACCAGATGCGTCCCAGGCCCTGCAGTCCGTCACAGGTTTCTGCAGTCTGCACTCTCCCCTTTGATCTTGCTTTATTCTTGCTGCTGCAAATCCTCAAATAACTTCCTCAGAATGGGTACGTGAAGGACCAGTTTTCTTAATCTTTGAATGCCTGCAAAACCTTATTATTTGCCAACATGGAACAGTTATTGGATTCCTAGCAGTGTTGTTTAAATGAGCTAGTACAATCCAAAGACTACAGGAAACACAGTGGCTGGACAATAACCAAAACAACTTTGAGAAGGAAAGAGCCAAAGAGCTAATTCTACCCAAGTGAAGCCTGGATTTAAAGCTAGCTGGTGGGCAAGAAGAGATAAACTGATGTCAGATGATTATTTGGATATCTGTAACATTTTTTAAACCTCTGCTTCCATTTGGAACTTGTGGATCAGCCCCTGACAAGAATTTCCAGTGATATAGATACTGTGAGATTCACCTTGGGGTGAAGCCATGGCCAGGCCCTGCACCTGACCACCTGGGGACCATGGCTTAGCCCCACAGTGAGCTACAGATTGTTAGCCATCTACTCCTGACTTCATAGCTCTTATGGGAGTTTTAGATTTCTCCACAGTCAGCCATCAGGGGAGAGTCATTAACACTTCATATCTTCCTAGCCCCTCAGACAATCCATGTGCAAATCCTGAAGTTCAGTTTCTATTGAATGTGGGTTCCTTTGGAGTCATTGCGAAGTGTAAAACACCATCAGCCAGGACGGTATATGTTCCAACCCCCAAGAAGTTCTCTTCTTACAGTCAAGATGTCCTTAATACTCAGCATTGTCACTGGGAGTCCCAGACCGTGCCTCTGTCTGCTTGCCACCACTAAAGCTGCCTAGTCAGACCATGTCATCCCCCTTAGATGCTGGCACCTGCCTCCTCCTGCCATGTTCCTCCTTCTCAGCAGCTGACAAGTCTTTAGTGATTGCAGACTACACACTAGAAACCAGCAATCAGGATGACAGAGCGCCTCCATTGATCGGGATGACCAAAGCACCTACCCTCAAGCAAGATGGCCAAGCACGTGTCCTCAAAGCAAGAAGACAACCCCAACCACGCTCAGCAAGATCATATCACCTATCCTGACTACGACACAAGACTGACATACAACATGCATGACGGCTGCAGCATTATGCAGTTGGCGCCATAGTGAGATGTCACCTTTCCGAAGCTCTAACAAATGAGAATGACCAGAAAGAAAGTGTATCAACAGAGACCGATTGACTTGTTAGAACTATAGTGAGGCCAAGAGGTTGGAATGTTGAAAGTCCAGGGGCTAATTACCTTGTGTCAGCCCCCTAAGGAGTCATTCCTTGCCCACCTTCCTTGTGGAACTAGTGTACGGTGACTCAAGATCAAAACCTTTGGAATCTGTTTATTGAGCAGGCCCCCTGGCTTCCAACAACCCCGAAGCTAAGAATGTGATCTGAGAACCTTTGAGGCTTAGAGCAAAGCTTCCCCGACCTTCCCGGAGCTGCCTCTCTGACGGACTCACCAGCGTGTTTTAAACTTGCTTTGATTGACGACTGCCTCTGTCCTGTAAAACTCCCAAGCTTCATGCTGCAGCTTCCACATTGGAACGCGGAGCTTGAGGTGACCTGAAGCTGTATTCCTGGGCCATGGTCACTGCACATGCTTCCAGAATAAACTATCCCACATACTCTTTTGAGGGCGAGCTCTGCTTTTTATGTCAACGCCTGCCATGCCCAACTTCACTACAGGCCCAACACTATTGAAGTTTCCAAAAGGATGGCCCAAACTAAAACTAAAACCCTCTCTGTGAGTTCACAACCTCCAGCATTTGCTGGTAACGGCAAGCTGACCAGCACACCTTCCTGATGTGAGATCCATGAAGGTAAATGCTGTGGCCATCTTCGCTTGGTAGTTTTTAATGCATAAGTAACTGCTCACTGAAGACTAATCAAATGACTGAGAGGGAGAAAACCGCATAGGCGGGTAGATAGCCCCTTATATCAGCACTTCCAGGGCTGTTATTGGGGAGTATCTGGCATTATTTTAGAGCTGGTTCCTGGCCGAGTGACTGGTTTCCATTAGTCTTTCATGAAGGCTAAAAAAGGAAAGCAGGCTGTTGGCTGACTTTTCTAAATATGTCATTAGCAATGATCTCTTTTTAATGATTGCCACCTCCTTGCCATTTGGAACTTAAGAGTGGGCACGTCTCACATCTCCAGCCTCACGGCCCTCGCTCAAGCCAGTTGCTCCCAAGCCTGGAGAATAACAGGAAGCCAGCAGATGGAATGGGGGCTGCACAAATCTCCCTGTGATTATGTTGGGTGTCTCGGCTAGGGGAAGAGGGTAAAAGCGGGAAGCTGTTTGGTGTGTTTGTAACTGATATTCACAGAGCAGACAGGATTTGAGAGTCCAATAACACGTTGGCCCTTTACTGGGAAAATTCTAAGAGCCCCTGCCTTCCCAGGCACATTTGCATTCCAGCTGAATGGACTGTTTAGGGTTTCCTTGTGAGCAGGCCTAGACTCCTTAGCCAAAGAAAATGTGTTTTGGAAATGGCTGTATACCAGGATAAATACGGGTTGATTTTATTCAAAGATAATAAGGCTGCCCTGTGGATTTTTTTTTCTGCCCAATTTATTTAAGTAAGGCTATGATTTTTTTTTTTTTTTATCAGACAGAGCAGACTTTAGAAGCATGATTAAACTCAGGTCCCAGAAGCCATGCAATCGTGAAAGCCACGTTTCTCCTTCTCGTGTCCTTCCACAAACCTGTGTGGCAGAGCCCCTAGTCTAGAGAGATCCAGGAAGCATTGAGCGCTGCAATGGTGAAGAGAGTAAGTATAGTGTCCTTCTCCCTGACCAGAAATGGACTGAGAAATCTCACCAGAGTGATGACTTGAAGCCCAAGGGACAGTTTAGCATCTGAGGCATCTCCTGTATGGTGCACTGTAACATGTAGGGACCGGCTTGTTGGGGTTTCTGTCCCGCCCAGTACCCCACAGCCGGCAAATCCCAAAGAGAAATCACACACAGGACTCCATAAGGTTATAAACTGATTGGCCCATTAGGTCAGGCTTCTTGTTAACTCTTATAACTTATGTTACCCCATTATCCTTATCTACATTAGCCACAGGGCTCCGTACCTTTCTCAGCTGGGCAAGTTACATGCTATCTCTTCGGTGGTCTGCACAGGAGTGCAGAGGAAGCTTCCTGCTTCCCGGAGTATTCCTGTTCTCATCATCCCGCCTCTACTTCCTGTCTGGTTGACCCACCTATACTTCCCGCCTGGCCAATCAGCATTTTATTAAAATACATGATTGACAGAATACAGATAATTCTCCCGCACCAGTGCACTTTTTTTCAGCTTAATGTGAATAGTAGAAAAGCATTCAGCACCTCATAGAATCCCCTATGCCACAGCAAACGCTAAAGTTTCCTTCAGAGAACATAATGGAAAAGATGGTACTGAATTCTTAATATGAAGCTTCAACACTCTCCCAAACGCCACGGACACCTCCCTGCTCCCCTCCCTTCCTAGGAAGAGCATAAAGGGAACTTCAGCATACACATCCACACCTGTCAAGATGCAGAAGTAGATCGAGGCTCCTCTACCACTAGCACACAAGACAGTCAATCGTGAAGCGGAAACCCAGATCCACCCCTACCTTAGACAAAGTGAGGTACACACACCCCACATACACTGTCCCCTCTTGACCATAGAGAATATGTTCCAAGACGCTGCAAACATTGAAAGTCAGAGGTGACATACATTGTGTCCCCTGTACACATCCTTTCCCATTCCCATTAGCACTTGCCCCGCATGTTGGCCATGGCTTTCATTGTTTCCGATGTAACAGGGAAAGCAACACATGGGTCTTCCCTTTCTTCACAGTAATGGCAGGTTTATTTCTGCTGCGGACTTCAGCAACGTCAGCCTGCTATTTTTTCCCCTTTCATCTAGAAATTCCACTTAATTGTTTTTCTTTGGCACATCCCAGTTGCCTACTGGGGTCATAATTAACTATAAGAAGGTCTACCTAATGTACAAACCATTCTCTCATGGCAGTGCCTCTGGTTTCCAAGATGGCTGCTGTGTAACTCACAGGCAACTTGCACCTTCGCTGGGGATCCACTGGACAAAGGGACGGGCCATGTCCCAGGTAAGACAGAAGGCCCTGAATGAGATTTTATGCACAATTGAAAGCATGAGCTATTATTTCTGTGATTTTACATTGAATATTTATGCTTGACTGCAGGTGACTGAGCCACCAAAGGCAAAACCACAGACGGCAGAGGCTACTGTGTGTCTTCCAAGAGACAGCAGTGCGGTGCCGTCCTTTGGCTCCAGACATTCTTCCAAACACTTAGACAGAACATCTCATTTACTCCACAGCACAACCCCAGGCTCTGACTAACATGAGCTTCTCCTATTTTACTGCTGAAGGCCCCCCCCCCGCCCCAGGCACAGACCATGCTCAGGCAGATGACAGATTTGGGAGTCTTGCTGAGGACTGGGTTCTGTCTACTCCAAACACCATCTGAATGTTTGTGCCTTTTCCTCCCCGCAGTTTCCTGTGTGGGGTTGGCAACTATCATCTGCATTTCGTAGCTAAGGAACCCGTTGTCAACAAAAGTAAATACACAGGCAAATAAATTGCAGGCCAAGCCTTAATAAGCTGATGTCTAACTGAACGTGGAATATGAAGGACTGGCAAGAGTTAAGGATGACCTTCGGGTTTCATTTAGTCCTGTTTCTTTGAAATAGACTGGAGAAGATGTTAAAAGAAGTAGCTAGCTCTGTTTTAAACACATAGAGCTTGCAGAGGCATTGAAGGTCCAAGTTGGAAAGGCCTGATGACTCCATTATACAAAGTGACATTTCCGCATCATCTACAAGAGAACTGAAGATGGTGTGTGGACAATGCACAGGGCAGGGATTAGGGGGAAAGAAACGGTGAAGGGAGGGGCTGGAGATGAGTTCATTTAGATCCAATGTTCATCCACCCAATCATTGCTACCCTTATTCATGTTTTAGGAAGAGAAACCATACAAGAAAATTTATGTTGCTTTTCCAAAATTATGATAATTAGTACAGAAAGAAGAAAAGGGAAAGAAAAACAGTGAGAAACACACAGAGAGTGCTAGATGGAAAGCCTAAAACGTTTCCATGAGGAGTGAATTCAGAATCCAAAACATGCAGCCCTCTGCACCAAGCCACAGATGCGTCTATCTCCAAGAGCAGATAGCGACTGAGAACTTACTTCAAGAAAGCACTGTGTATCATGTCATCATTGTCTTTCAGTCTGGGTACCACCCACCTGAGCATCTCAGGTCATACGGTTTGCCGAACTTTGGTGTTTTCGATCAATCTTCTCTTATCACTAGGATTAAAAATAACTTGGGATCGAAATTTATGTCTTGCATTCTTTCCATACAATTTCTGCAGTGGTAAAATGATCGTAGAAATACAATCGCTCCTTAAAATGACTTTTTGTTAGACTTTGGCACACAAATAAGCAAGTAATAAGTAGAACACGATTGTAGCCAGGCGCAGCAAGCCACGTATCACTTGGTTCTGTTTAGATGGAGAAATTGAGAGTTGCAAAATCTATCTAGTTACAGGGTGTTTGGGGGGGGGGTGTTCAAAAAAATGAATTGCTGTATGGGAAGCTAAGGAAGCCTTCAGTCTATGTGTAAAGGACAAATGAAGTTGTTACTGAATGTGTACCATAGACATGGGCACAACCATGTCAAGCACCAATGCCTCAGATCCATGAAAAAAATGGCAAAGCTTTCCTATTTTCCAATTACCAGTGTTGACACATGATTGACCAGTGTGTACAAAATCTAGCAACTGCCGTTTCCTCCTCCTAGAGGTCAGCCTAAGAATTCCGACGTCAGATGCCTCCTGTCAAGACCAGCTTAGTCCTCTCCCTGTGCTGTACACAATAAACATGCTGAGGGTCTGGATTTTTACTGTAGTTGGGCGCTGGTGCCGCTCCATTAGAGTTCGCCCAGCCCACCTGACCCCAGGTTTTCTGTAGTTGTGTCTGAGTGTTTGTCCTTTCTTTGTTCCCTCACCACTGAAGTCGGATTTCCAGACCCGAGCCTCATGGGATGCGGTAGCGTTGACAGTTACATCATTCTGGATATGCTAAAGAGCCATTGAATTGTAGGCCTTGACGACTGAAATGCATGCATGAGCATTATAACTCAACAAAGCTGTCACCAAAAAAAATGCAGCTACATGGTTTGTTCCCTGGAGAAAAGGGTATTTAAATCCAGAGTTTGAAGAGTATCAAGTTGGAAGGATCCTTGAACTCTGGCTACAAAGAGGGACAGTATTTCTCAGCACTATCAAGCAGGCTCAGTAGACACTGAATGGCTTGAGCTGCCAGTAGCAGTACTTGTTGCTCTTGGTACCACATTGCCTGCAACCATAGTAGCTCTTGGATGCCTCTGTGTTGAATGTTAGTTCTTGCATTCAAGACTAGTCACATGGGCGGAAAGCACAGACTGGGCCATTCGGAGCTTCCTGAGACATTTGCTTTGATGTCCAGACAGAAGCCAAAAAGAACAGGCACTCGGACTCTGGCGCATGGGTCTCCAGCCCAGTGGCCAAAGCTTGCTTGCTTTCAAAGATTAATGTAGTGTGGAGATGCCAGTTCTGTCTGTGCAACTGGCCACAAAATCACCCGGCAGCAACCTCCCATTTATTGTAACTCCACTTCTACTCAGGACAATCCCAACTGGAAAGAGTCCGGATACTGGGTCCAAGAGTTTTTTTTTCTTTATGAAGAACAGCTTAACAGTCCCTCTAGAACATTCCATAAGCAATATTACAAGCTTTCTTTTTATTTTTTAAGCATGGCAAAGACAGGAGGGGGTGCACATTGTAATTATGAATCAAATTTCAAAGTCAATAAGTTGAACCTCTGCTAGGCCCTGGATATTTTCTAAATTAATTGACCATCAAATTCTTACCCTCTACATCTGCATTACATTAGAGATCATGAAGCTATTTGGGGATTTTTTGCTACTTAAAGCTAAGATTGCATGGGCATAATTCCTTCAGAGGGCCTGTTCCTTTTCAAAAATTATTTTGAATTCCTGGAAAGAAACAGGATTATCTGGTGTGTTTATGCAGGGCTATTCCATTCTAAAGAGCTCAAAGGACTTAGTACCATCTTGTCTCTCTCCATGAGGGGAAAGGAGGCTTGGCTGCTCCAAAGCCAATACACGCGAGGGCTTGGGTTTTACAGAATGTCTACTGGTGTGTGCTATCAAAGTCATTTGTTAGGTTTTTTTTTTAAGGAGTCGTACATTCTTTCAGTACATTTCTATTCAAGCAACCGCCCATTCAAAAAAAATCCTATAAATGCTGGAGATGCAGAAAGAGAGGTGGATGTACAAGGCTAGTGAGAGAGTCTAAATAAATAAGTAAATAAATAAGATAGATCCGGGAGAAATGAGTCCTCTGCTGCGGCCACAGTAAGTCAAGTGTGTGCTTCACATAGCAGAGACCAAACAGCCTTCTAAAGGAGGTGATAACTGAACTAAAAATGGAAGAAAGAAGTATCTATAGAGGAAGAGTTGGAGAAAGGTAGTCCTTGCATCGAAAGGAGCTAGTGCCAAGGCCCTGGGGCAGAGAAGAGTTCATTTTAAACAGAAGGGCATGAAAGACTGGTGAATCTGGAATATGAACAAGGCCTAGAACATGGCAGGAACTTCACTGTGAGCTAGCAAGGAGGCTAGTAGAAGCTCCTGCTCTCTGACCAGCCCCGAGGGGTCCATACTTCAAGGGCTACATTGTCCACATGTTTTACCACACTCCGACTTTATGAGACCAACAACGCTGTTCCCACCTATTAGAGGCGACAGAAGAAATGGGCACAGGGTGTGTTCACTGTTTACTATATGCAGCTAACAATGTAACCCAGATAGAGGGACTCGACACACATTACACACACACACACACACACACACACACACGCATATATATATATATATATATATATATATATATATATATATGTATGTATGTATATATATTCCTGGCTCCAGAAGGTTCAGAGATCTGTGCAGAGCCACGGCTTAGGGCTAAGGGCCCAGGCATGGTTTGGTAGATAATGGGTAGATACCGAGAGGGGAGGGGCAGCCAGTGTTCCTGGAGGGTCACCATCCTGCAGAGGAGTCAAGTAATCAATTGAAATGGCTAAAGCTGGAGAACAGGATGTAGCTGAAGTGCCTTATGAGCTGAAGTTGAACCAGGATAGTAAAGTTCAAAGCCACAAGAATCAACCTTCCAGGCTGAATCTGAACCCTGCTCCCATCACCACAAGTATTGAGATGGTTATCAATGTTAAAGGTAGAATCAATATCTTCTCTACTTTAGAGTTTAGGTGCAAGTCAGGGAAAATCAATGGCATAGGGCTATGGAATGCTGTGATTGTGGTTGTTATTACTCCCATACATCACAGTTTTGAACAGGCGGAAGACCCCATAATATCCAAGGTTCTTGCCGTCAACTCTGGGAAGCTGCCGACTGCTTGCTGGGTTGGGTAGAAACCGTTATAAGGACGAACCCTTTATGGAATGAGCCAGATGTCACTTCTTTTATAATCTGTCTTCTTGAGTTTAAGGATCTATGGTTTGAGTTCTTGGCTTCCTCCTCTTTCTAAAGATAATGCTCAATTTATCTCTGGGCCAGTGTGTGAAAGAAAGCACAAAGCCGAAAGGTCAAGGAAGGAAATGTCAAGCGGGAAACACCCTGGAAAGTTCTTGGGTCGGTTTCTCTCTGGGTTGGGATGTGAGCCTGTGGCAATTTTCCCTTCTTTCTTCATTATGCTCTAGTTTGGTCCCCAAACCACGCCTTTTAGAAGCAGACTAGCCCAGCAAGCCAGTTCCCACAATGGCTTCCTCTGTGAGAACCACTATAACCTCATGGCCAAGGCTGAGGACATGCAAGGGCTCCAAGGAAACATGAGGAATCTTGCAACCTGCTATCTCCACCCAGAATCAAAAATTCCTGGGAAAACTTAACAGAACCCACAGAGAGTCTTCTTATTGCTCATGCTTCTTCAGTTTTTGAAGAAAAACTATTTTTGTTCTAATTCTAGAAGTAAAATCTCTTTATTGAAACCTTGGAAAATACAGAATTTTTTTTTTTAAAAAAGATATGATTGAAAATCATCCACTTGCCAGGTGGTGGTGGTGACACATGCCTTTAATCCAAACACTTGGGACACAGAGGAAGGCAGATCTCTGTGAGTTTGAAGCCAGCCTGGCATACAGAGCAAGTTCCAGAACAGGTTCCAAAGTTACACAGAGAAACCCTGTCTCGAAAAAACAAAACAAAAAACAAACAAGCAAAACCAAAGGAAAGCAAAGAAAATAAACCACTGCTACTATTGGAATCTGAATTGCCCCCCCCCCCCACCCCGTTGATCACAGTCTTTGGAGAGCCATGGAAGCTTAGAGAGATGGCAACACCCTGGGACTAGAAATTCTGTAGAGCTGAGCCTTCGAAAGGCACAGCCCAGCTCCTAGCTCTGGTTCATTCCTCCTGCTTCATTCCACAAACATCTAAGAATGCTGTCTTCTTCTGTCTCAGCCACATGCCCCACCAGACGGGACTGACCCTGTCACATCTTCCCCGCCATTGTAGCCCAAACTCTTCTTCAAATCATAAGTGAAAATAACTCATTCCTCCCTTGTTGTCTTTCTGTTAAGTATTCTGATTGCAGTGACATGACTATGATCCTATTACATCGTTTACAATTTGGGGTACATCTCCCTGGTTGTTTGTATCTAACTGTAGATCATTCATTATTTCTTAAATAGAGATTTTATAAAAAGCCTTCAAGGCCAACCTGGATCTATAGAGAGAGTTCCAGGACAGGCTCCAAAGCTATAGAGAAAACTTGTCTTGAAAAAACAACTACAGCAAGAGGCAAATACGCATAGAAGCATGTATTAAATTTGTCTTTACAGAGGAATGGAGAGATGGCTTATCAATGAAAAGCATTGACTATTCTTTTTGAGAACTCAAGTTCAATTCCCAGCACCCAGGTGGTGGCTCATAACCGTCAGTAACTCCAGTCTTGGGAGATCTGATGCCCTCTTCTGACCTTCTCTGGTACTGCACTCATGTGGTGCACAAACATGCACAGGTTAAGCACCCACACCCATAAAATAAAAATAAACAAATCTTTACAGAAATACATGTCATTAGAAAAGTAGTTAACTCTTTGCTCATATTCTCACTCCTCCCACTCTTCAACTGGACTTTGGGAGCTGAGGCCAGAGGTCTGCTGTGTCTCTCTGCCTTTGCTTCCATCAGTTACTGAATGAAGGTTCTATAGTGACATTTAAGATAGTCATCAATCTGATTACAGGGCAAAGCCAGTC